TGGGGACGCAGGTGCAGGTGGGGGGACACGGGCAGGGACGCGAGGGCCCAGGACTCCGCCTCCAGCCTCCCCAGCCCGGGCCGCCCGCTCCCTCTCACTGGATCATGTCCTCTTCCTTCTCGACTTTGGCGAAGGTGGCCACCTTGTTCTTAAGCAGATAGAGGTGTCCAGGGCCTCCCTGGAGAGACAGCGGTCAGGGCTCCGGGGTGGGCCGGGGGACTCACAGGGAGGCGCGCCTCTCACACGTGCCCGCGTGCACCGCAGCCTCGGGACGGAAGGGCGGCTCGAGCCCTACCTGGCAGAAGATCAGCATCTTCCAGATGCGGGCGCCCTTGTGGTACACGCTCAGCTTCTTCTCGATCTCCTCTGTGGACAAGCCGGGGTGAGCGCCACCCCCACCCCCGCTCCAGGGCCACCACGGCCTCTGCCCACGCTCCCAGCCCAGGACCAGAGGTCGGAGGCCAGCAGGGCACATACCTAGAATGTCCTCGAAAGTCGCATGTTCATGGTCCTGGGGACACAGACAAGGCAACATCAGAGCCCCCTCAGACGGCACCCCCCCAGGCACACTGGGGGACCGGTGCCCTGCGTCGGGCAGCGGCACATGGGGACACGTACGGGGAGAAGGGCACTCACGTAGAGGATGGGGATGATGGAGGGGTCGTCCCTGCGGATGATGGTCGGGATGTACTCCGCTTTGGGCACCTTGGAGGAGATGAGCTGGGGAGGACGAGGGGTCAGCTCAGTGGCCCCCAGGCCCACCCCAGAGCCAAGGGGTGGGGAAAGTCCCAGGGTGCTGCCCTCATGCTGCCAGGCAGCCCCAGGGCGGAGCCCTGCAAGATGCCCCTGCCCTGCCCGCGCCAGCCAGGCAACCCGTGGGGGCGCACGGTCCCGGAAGAGCCAGTCCGGCTCTCAGAGGAAAAGGCACAGAGGTGCACTCCGGGGTGCCAGGCCTCACCATGACCTTGGGTGGCATGAAGCCTTCAGTGTCACAGGCCACAGCCTCCAGGCCCCTCTCAGTGTCCCAGTCCAGGTCCTCACAGGCCTCCTCCAGCGTGCAGTGTGAGCTCTGTAGGTCACTGCCTAAGGGGCAGGAGGGGTCAGTGGAGCAGCGACCCCGGCAGCACCGCCTGTCCTGGCTGCCGCCCCACCGGG